AGCTTTAACCTACAGAGCTATGGTTGCCCGGTGCATAATGCTGGGCAGTAACATAGTATGTGTCCTGAATGCGTCACAGTATTTTTAACAGTTATTTTCAGCTCTTTGTGAGTATTACTTTGGTGTAAGTGCAGGGAAAGCTTTCTGATAAGTCTGCCTAGAGTCAAAAGCAGAAAAAAAAGGAGTAAGAGGGGTCACAGAGCCCCACACATTTATCATAGGCCTAAATATGGCTATTACTGTGATGATTCTATGATTTCATCATGCAACGTTCCTCTTTTATAATGTCTGCAAATAAGGTTTGGGTCACTTGGGGGTGATGATCTTGATGCTCGTCAGACACTCATATGATGCACCGTCATTGGTCCCATGTGCAGCCAGTTATCCTCCACAAATGCCAGATTGTCATGGAACGCAGGAACATTTGAAAAATCAGCTCACTTAGTGTTTGTGTGAGTTAAGAGTGGAAAATCCACGTTATCGTGTTGCTGTGCAAGGTTTATTCCTCCGTAATGTATTTCCCATTTAGCTGTTGTGCTTTCCCTTACTGCTTCCATGGACACAAGCATAGTTCCTTAGAATAATACACACAAATTATTCTATTTTACTGTGGCATGTTTTATGCAGTCTTGCTGTTTCTAGAGTTACAGCCTAATTCAGACTCCGCACAGAATGAGATGTAACTGGGGCACCACATCAGTCTGCGTCTTTTATTATCTGATCAAAGTCCCAATAACTGAGATATGTCTGCTGCTTTGAGGTTTTTATGTGCTTATATCAGGAACAAAGAGATGTGTCGTGATGAATAATCCCTGTTTATGTTTTCAAACCAAAGATTGTGGCAGGCTTAAAGAGTTACTGATACTCAGGAGGATCTCTCCCCCTCCCCCGCACACAGAGCAACAGACACACATGATTTAACTTCATGGTGATACATTGAAACAGCTGTTTCACTTAGCTTTATAGGTGAAACATGAAATGTAATCTCATGGATTATTATCTTGATTGTAATATTGATCTGTTTAGTACTGAAAGCAAAGCATTAATTGGTTGTAAAAACACAGAAGTTGCATAGTCTGACAAAATCTAAAATGATGTTTGAGACGTAGCATGAGAACATGTCAGTTCATTTTGTTTCAGTTTGAAGTTTCTAAGGAAGTTTCAGCTGCTTCATTTTTTCCATAGATTCCTTTTCCTTGTTTTTGGAAATTTGTGCTACAGTTACACTGCTGGGCTCCCTTTAACACTCAAGTTTTTTCACAGTAGTTATGAGAGTAATTTTTGATATGTATAAGGAACACAAGTTAACATCTGAAGAATTTAATTATTGAACATAATAGAGGGAGGCAGTAGTTGGGACTGAAGTATTCGAGGGCAGACTTGCTTCTATTCTTGCGTAATAACTTTTCCAGTCATATCTCTTTCGCAAATGAACCTCTGCTACAAGAGCAGGGGTATTGGAAATTGAGGTTCATGCTGTTACCCGTCAAGGCCATCTGATGAAGTCTTAGTGTAACCGTTGCACTCTCTGAAGCTCTTTTGTTTTTCTTGGCAGGGCTAACCGAGTGCTATCAGAGAGACGTTCAGAGCAGCGCCGCCTCCTCACTGTCATCGGCACCACTGCTGTCATGGACTCTGACCTGCTTAAACTCAACCAGCTTAAGGTACAAGCAGTACTATATTCATGTGGTCACTTACAAGCTAAAGGACAAAGTTAAACTGCAACCTGCGACTTGTCAACAGATTTAACTTTAAAAAAAAATCTTTGCTTAAAAAACAAAAACACTGTAAGTTATGCCACCTGACACAATAAATTAAATGGTTTACAGTTCACGAGTGTAATCAAAAGGTCATCTAAGGAATAAATTTCCAGAGCCTGAAACTGATTCCATGCTTTTAGAAGCGCATAGCTGAATTTAGTAGGATATATACCAACATGTTTTACAGTCTAAACACAATACAAACAAGACATCTGTGAAGGTTCTCAGTCATCGGTCATCGTAGCTTGGAAAGAAAAGCATCTGGACTTCTTTAAGTCCAGACTTAGACTACAAACAAGACCAATTTTGACACGAACTCTGTGGTTTATTAATCAAAACTCGCAAAGGTTTTTCCAAGCTTCACAACATGAAACTCAGGGCTGAATGCAGAAATTTTACCTTCACAATGGTGGGTTATCTTTTGGTTTCAAGATGAATTTGTTTATTTGTTAATGCAATGTCTGAATAGGCGTTTTTTTGGAAGGTGGCTCTTGTCTCGTTTTGTGTGCGTGTGTGTGTTTGGTTTTGAAAGAGGCTGTATCTCTGGCTTTCATTGTTACACAAATCCGGGGTCGAGGTCACAGATCTGCCTCTGTGCTAAACGTGCAGAAAATCTGCTCACTACAGTAGGTCAGTGGTCAAACTTTTGGGTGTGGGCCTTTTTTGCATGTTCTTATTCTAGTCAACAATTTATTTTTTTTCTGGTTTTCACACCAAATTATCAACTTGGATTAGTTTACCTTTTTGAATTGTTGAAGATCCAATTATAAAACAAAGATATAGCCTGTAAATACTTAAAGCTGTCTGTTAATTCAGGACAGGTTAGTTTATAAAAATATCTATTGCTAGTAAGGCTCCTCTTAAATTACATCCGCTCTGTCCTGATGCAGTTCCGAAAGAAGAGGCTTCGTTTCGGACGCAGCCGAATCCACGAATGGGGCCTGTTTGCGATGGAGCCCATTGCTGCTGATGAGATGGTCATTGAGTATGTGGGTCAAAACATAAGACAGGTATGACTTATAAGGAGTTTTGTGTTTAACCAGTGATGGTTTTTGAAACTTTTCAGCCATCTTGACATCTAAATGTTTTCATTATCCACTGTTGCCATCTAAACAAATCTGTAAAATACTTATACAAATAATAAATCTCTAAGAGTCCTGCTGTGTTGGACCCTTACTCTTGCATTGTAATATTGATATGACTGTATGTGAATTGCAGTTTTTCAGACACTTTGAGGGTGTGGTCAGTCAGAAAATGTTCTTTATGCGCAGATGGTGGCTGACAATCGAGAGAAGCGTTACGCACAGCAGGGCATCGGGAGCAGCTACTTGTTCAGAGTGGACCATGATACGATTATAGATGCCACCAAGTGTGGGAACCTGGCACGATTCATCAACCACTGCTGCACTGTAAGTCTGAAAACACTCAACAATGATCTGCCTCTTACATGCTTGATATGGACTGATGTTAAGTTCTGCAGCTGTCGCCATCAGTCTGTCGATGCTTTCCCCCCTTGCAGCCAACGCTACGCCAAGGTCATCACCATAGAGTCCAGAAAAAGATTGTGATCTACTCAAGCAACCATTGCCGTCAACGAAGAGATCACGTACGATTACAAGTTCCCACTGGAGGAGAACAAGATCCCTTGTCTGTGCGGAACGGAGAACTGTCGTGGGACGCTCAACTAGTCAACGCACTTCTCTACCACTTACCAATGGCCAGCCATACCCGTAAACAACCCCCTTTCCCATGAGTTCGCTCTCCTAAATGTGTAACTTGAACCACCCCAGTACACTATGCTGCCCCTCCTCATGGCCTCATAGCCGGCCTCACAGTACCTAGGACGTAGACACGCACACACTTGCACTTTTCACACGCAGTTTTCATTCTCTAGGCAGTTCCACAAGCTAGTGGGTGATGGATTGGCGTCATCTGGCTCTCGATGCATGACAAGGCCTTTAGCATCGCTCGTTAGTGCAGTATTACTGGACAAAACCGGGTGCTCCAAGGAATTGTTGCGTCAGTCAGGGCATGAAGGATTTGTCTGATTCCATCCGGCATCCGTTGAAGGAACAATGTGGAGAAAAAAATAGAAAAGGACAAATGTTTATTGGCACTCCTCAACATGGCTTCATTACTCTTTTAAAGTGACGGCATCAGTCAGACATGGGTCATTTTATGTTCCTCATGACTTACTTCAAAAGGATTATATTTTGTAAATAACTATTGTTAGTAACGACTTTAGTGAAGTGAAACTACAATTTCGGTTTCATTTCCTTTGCATTATCTCTAAGAGCAGCACTTGTTCACGTGTTGCATGCTGCTGTGGAAGTTGTATTGTGCGTCTCATAACCAGCCTCTGAATATTGTTTTTTTTCTTTATTGGTGTAGCTGAAACAAATCGGTGGGGACGCTTTGATCTTAATAAAAGCAGTCGTAGGAAAAATGCCGTCCAGAAGTTACTGCTGATTAGGCACTTAATAATTCACAAACATGCACAAGACGTGCAAAATAATATTGTGCATAACTATCTGTAGACTTGGCAGCAAGCAGAGTTGTGCCAGGCTCCTACTCTCTAGATTTTCTTTGTGACAATTACAGAAGCCAGGGTGTTTATCCAGATGTGAAGCAGTGCATTTGGATGCCGTCACGTTAATGATAAGGAGGTCATGTCTGAAGGGGCTTTCTTTTGTCGGCGTCGTCCAGGGTCACTCCTCTAGTGTCGAATTCCTTCTGTAACACGCACCCATACAATCCGCACAGGACGCACACGAATACCAGAAAATTCAGGTTTTAGACTCGCTCACTAAGGGCGTACTTTTAAGATAATCACTTCAATCATTGGTCTTCAGTTATGCAAGATTTCCAAGCCTGAGGGTTGTTTTGGAGCTTTTTTTAATTTCATTTCATAGTATTATATTATATTACTATTGCTGTTATTAATGGTATTGTTACTTATTTGCATAGCTGTAAGTATATTACAGTGAAATGAGCTTCAGTGTACCCATCCACTGTCCTCAGTGGCTTTGTGATCCAGCCCTATAATCCTTTCTCTCTCCACTGTGTGTTACTCTCCTGTTTTGCACAGTCTGTATGAGAGTAAAGCCGTTTAACCCACTGTGAAATGTGTAATTTAGGTTTCAGCTTACAGTGTGCGTGTTTTTTGTTTTTTTTTTTTGTTTTTTTTGTTTTTTGTTTTTTTTAAATGCCATGCTAAACTTTTATATTCCCCTTTTTATGTTTTTTTTTTTTTTTTTTTTTTTTTTCTTCTCCAAACTATGGATACTGACATAGGTGCTTTAACAATTATTTGTGCGCTCTTGTGGGTTCTTATTCATCTACAATAATTAGGCTGTGCTTGTGAAATGCAGTGAGCACATGTCCAGTGGGGTGGGATCAGAAATTGTCATGACTGTTTCTATCACCACACAATGAGGGGAGTGTATACGTTCATAGCTCGAATCGCTTGTTGTCAGCGATGATTTGGCACGCTATATCTGCTGTGTCAACAGAGAAGTCGCAAAGTATGTTTCGTTGTCGACAAGTCACGTCCCTGTTTGGGTGAATTCTAAGATTCACAAAGGACGCAATCCTATTAGCAATGACGCTGGTTTCACAGCCGTTGCGTTGTTGGTTAAAAGCATGTATGTCCAGTGACGTAAGTCAAGAAAGGTTTTGTTGCTGCTTACAATATATCACCTGTTTCGTTTCAACATGCGCACAAATTCCTGTTTAAACAATTGACAAAGCGTTTTCTGCAATCCTTCTCCCTAGTTGCTTTGTTAAGTTCTGAATTACACAAGTGAGTTTGTGAACAATGCTGCTGGCTTTGCAGCCATTTGCTACAAGTTTGCATTTCTAGCAGAGCCCCAAGTCAAATAAGTTATAATAAGAAGAAGAATCCTTCGAGGTAACTTGGCAGATCTGTTTGTAAGGCACATTTATTTGATTTGGTTTCTGTTCAAAGACTTAAAGTTCTTGTTTCCCCTTGTGTTGCAGATCTTTGCAGATTCATGAGAATGCATATATTTTACTTCAGTCATCCCTTCTGAAAGATCGTAACTCAAAAAAAAAAAAATCCTGCTTACAGTCTGTTTGCATTGTAGATAGGTGAAAGTGTCCGTGTCCCTGCGAGTTAACAATCCTAGCCAGTTTCTGATACGTTGCAGACGGGGATTCAGTGACCTTTTGTGTTGTCTTTTTTTATTTTCATGGCTATGGCCGTCCAAAGTTTAACTTTGATGTTGAACTTTTAACTAAACTCCTGTTTTTGTTCTTTCCCAACAGGAAATGTGTAAGATATTTCTGTTGCAATGAAGCCTTTCAGTACAAACCAACCCTCTTTAATAAGGAGAAAAGATGAAAGGAAAAACAAAAGCAAAAACAAAAAACAAAGAAGTACATGTAAATATTGTAGAGGTGTTTGTTTCTTGTAGAAACACACTGATTCCAAGCTGTAAATATGTTGTTCCGTTTCCTTACTCAATGGAGGAACATGTACATCCTTCCATTCATTTATTTTTATTGTTTTTCCTTTAATTTGATGATTATTTTAATATTATTTGCATATTCTCTTGTATTAATGCGTTGGACCCTTTATTAATGGTGCATTAAAATATTTTTAAATAAATGAAAATCTTGGTGAGTGTGTTCAAGAGGCAAACATATTAAAAACATCAGCAGAAAAACATGGCCATTTTGTGTAAGTGATTACTTTTACATTCACAGGTCTCCTGATCCACTTTACTATAACAATATATTCATGACAGAAGGAAAGTAAAGGAAGCAAGATGAGGCCCCCGTAGCTCCCCTCTCACTTCTGAAGCCATTAGCTGCTGGTTAAAAGTTATTGAGGGCAATAAAGGCACAGGTTCAGAAGACTCCTAGCCCTGTAACTCATCTGGAAGCAGTAAAAAAAAGAAAAGTTCTTAACCTTTACCATCAAGTCATTCTTATCTGCTTCCTTTGAAATGACACTATAGAAATGTGACCAGTTTTCTTCCCTTTTTCTAATGACGTCTCTGTTTAAGTATGGTGCATAAAGTGTGGTCTTAAAACTGTTAATACATTTTATGGTTCATGGTTGGGATCAATCCTAGCTCCCCTCAGGCACAAGGATGGGTATGCGGTGTTCCTTGGTCTATCACAACAGATCATTTTTATGTCTTAACATTAAACATCATTGGTCACCTTAAAATCATCAGTTAACCAAACAGGCATGCCTACAGACTACTGAATTTATTAGTACCAGTGGTTCGAACACCAAGTTGAAGAAGAGGGCTGTAACAGTGCTAACCACTTCAAAAGCCTTTCTTAGTAAACTTGAGAAGCAGTTGTGCACTTAAGGTAGATGTAATCAAGCAATGCAACATGCTAAAACAATTACAGAGCAGAAGATTTTCCAAGTGTAGTCCGCTGTCCAGTGGAGATCCTTTGTAACATTTAATGAAGCATGGTGAACACAAGAAGGACCCGTTTCTGTCATAATGCAGCATAAATGCTTGTTGTTGTTGACCCAAATACCCTCACTAATGGTTGCCAACCAGCAAAAAATGGCAATGACTAAAATAAACCTATGGTTTGCAATATTGTATAATATAAACTAATATTTGTTTCCAAATATAGTGAAATAGAAGCAAAATGTAGCATAATTCTTATATTTATTTTATAAACAACATAAATATGGAACTGTCTCCATGTTTATTTAAAGCAACATGTTGAAAAATATTTTTAAATAATGAAAATCTTGTGTTTTTCTTTACCAAGTCAGTGTCCTGCTGGATATGGATGTTCAGATTGGAAACAAGCGTGAGAGTCTGACTTCTAGTTGATCGCTCTCTTATGCCACTTTAAAGGCATGTTGGTTGAGCAGGAAGTTGTGTGCCGGAAATGAATGCATCTGCACTGTCATAGACTGTAAGAGGAAGCAGTGAAATCTGATGAGAACAGATGGTGACCTGAGTTGACGAGGCTACAGCTGGCTAACATGTGCCCTATATGCATTTCCAACTCCCATCTTTTTAGTGCTCTCCCTATAAGGCCAACTTTCTTCTGATCCACTGTTCCTCACAGTGAAAAGTAGGTGAGTGTGTTCAAGAGGCAAACATATTAAAAACATCAGCAGAAAAACATGGACCATTTTGTGTAAGGCATTACTTTTACATTCACAGGTCTCCTGATCCATTTTACTATGACAATATATTCATGACAGAAGGAAAGTAAAGGAAGCAAGATGAGGCCCCCGTAGCTCCCTCAAAACAAGTTGGTTACATTACACAAAAAAATCGAAATCTTGGGTCAAAGTAACAGAACTCTACTCAAAGTTGACAAACAATACTTATAACTCAAACAAACTGACCTACCTAGCGAGACAAAGGGGAAACTTAAAATAGTGGCTGATCAACCCACAAAAACACAAAAAGGGGTAAATCAGAATCAGAATACTTTATTGATCCCTAGGGGAAATTATGTTGGTTAGAGTGTGCCAGTATAAACAGTAACAAAAACAGACAATACAAGAAGTACAAGAAGTAGCACAATATATACATACAAATAATTCACTTACTGATAAATAAAGGAATGATTTCCTGTGTCGTGCAGTGGTGCTTTTTGATGTCAGTCTCTCACTGAACATGCTCCTGTGGCTAGCCAGCATGTCATGGAGTGGGTGGGACGAATTAGCCAACATTGTCTTTATCTTGGACAACATTCGCCCCTCCAACACCAAATTAAGAGAGTCCAGCTTCATCCCTAAATGTCATCATCTCTGTGGGCGGGAAGGGCGGGGCGAGTATAGGCAAAAGCTCCAGCTCGCCGCTGCAGAGCACAGAGTTCATTAGCGTAACACGATGTCGGAACACCAGCGGGGTCTTGTGTATCTGCTCACCGGTGCCTGTGGGTTTCTCGGCCAGCATTTACTGAGAATTCTCCTGGAAAAGGAGGACAGTCTAGAGGAGATACGGGTGTTTGACAAACGCGTAGATCCGACCTTGCATGATCTCAGCACAGGTAAGACGAGCAGAAGCGCTTCTTGACTGTTCGTGACTTATGTCATGCATGCTGTTTCTGTTTATAATGCGGACTTCGTTAGCTAATATACCGATTTAACGTTAAATCTTTCACCGGCAAACAGACATACGCGCAGATATATTGTCGTAAATCACTCGAGCTGTTTGTTTTATTCGGCAGCATTTTCCTTTTCATGGTAATTCTCCAGAGAAAACAAAACTGTCTTCATCACTTCGCCACCGCATTCCTGATAAGAATCTTAACTCAAACCTTTAGCGTGCCAGCTTTATGTCATCTTAATTAGAGTCTGTTTGAATGAAATACCTCGAGCAGGTACAGCATTACTTATAAGGAAAAAAATGGCATACCCTGATGTTTGTGTCTCAGATATGCTTTTAATCACCTTGGCAACGTAAAGAAAGCTGTGTTTTGAGCGCACCCTAATTTACCTGTCGTGTCTTGTTGTTGCCCCTGCCGTGACTTTCAGCACCTTCTGAATAATTTGAATGCTAACCTGTTGGTTTACATAGAACCAGAAGTCGTGACCAAAGGTGGTTCACATGATGTGTTTGTTTTTGTTCCCTGCTTCCTGGGAAACATTACTGAAATCACTTGGAAGCCAAGATATGTTTTATTTCCTTGATTGCTGGTCTGCTTACAGTAAAATACAGAAGTTAAGCAAGACAAGACCCTCAAAGCTGTGACTAATGCCCCAACAAAAAGACTAGTGATCCATCTAGAATCAAAACCCATAAAACAGAGTTTGAATTTCAGCAGAATCTCTGTGTGAAAGTCCAGGTGCAGAGCTATCAGCGTTTCAAGGACAAATGGTAGATAATTTATAGGTTCAAGGCCTTCATAATATTTTTGCCATGTCAGCGCAACAGTGGAGACTGATCTCTTATATTGTTTTAAACTTCTGTGGAATTTAAAAATAAGACATTATCACTTTGGATAAAATTGGACTTGCCTTGATGATTCGGAAAGATGCAAATCACACCTGGAAATAACACTGCTATTATGAAATCAGGGCGGGCTGGGAAAAGAATGAGGTTGTTTTGAAGTTGCTTGGTAAACAAACTGTTTGTTCCTCAGTGTATTTGTAACATCCTTGTGGAATTCTCGGGAGAATATGGACATTATTTTCAGGTTTATTTGTTTGTTTTTAACTTTGTGTTTTCATGTTTTTTACCCAGAGCGGACAAGAGTGGTTGTCATTCAAGGAGATATCACGGATTATGAATCTGTGTTGGAGGCCTCCCGTGGAACCGATGTTGTCATCCACACAGCCAGCTTGGTTGATGTTTGGTACAAAGTCCCAGAGCCCCTCATCTACTCTGTCAACGTAACAGGTGAGGCTTGGAAAGATCAAAGTGATAACAAGGAAAAGGGGTGGGGTGGAAACATCAATCAACAGTTAAACTTGAAAAACATTTTACCACAGAAAGATATTTAGAGGAGAACCTTGGCTACATTTACTTTGGATGACTTCCAAGGCGTTTCCCTTCAACCAAAAAATGGAAAAATAGTTATAGTTCACATATTCACATTTCTGGTCTGAGGTGTGGTTTCCTCTTGTTTCAGTCAAGGGTCATTTTGTGTGTTCAAAGTGTTGTTTCGTCTTTATGAAAGGATACTTTGTTTAAACACCAGAGGTCTCAGATTCTCTTAAACTTCAACTCTAATTGGCTGATGCTGTTAGTGTGGAATTTAGCGGTGAGTTTAAGTGTTACATGATGCTGAAGTTGTTATTGGAGATGGGTTTCCTTTGTGCAGACGAGAAGCGAACTGCTGGGGAAACCCATTTTGTTCCCCTCTACTTTTTTGGAACATGATGAGAGTAGTGTCACTATTCACTGACTGAAACTATGACTAAATAGAGTCGGTTGAATTATACATTTAGGTCAAGGTTTAACTGATCATATGTCACTGTAGAGCTCTATTTGCACATGAGAGCATCAGAGACAGACTCTAGATTTGTGTGTCAAGTGTCTCAGTTAAATAAAAACACCTTGTTCAAACCTGGAAAAGTTAGTGACTCATAAATGTATTGGATTGCCAAAAGCAGTCCAAAATAACAGTTAACCAATGAGTTTACTCTTGACTGGAAAACTATTTTAAATGCTTCCCAAAGTATCGTTTCTTCGGGTCTGTGGAATTTACTGGGTTTATTTTACTATTGTTTCTAGGGGTTTTTGAAGGTGGGCAGGTTGTATTCTTTAAAATCTGTCTAAACATTCCTTCTACTGTTTTATGTAGCAAAATGGCTCTCAAGAGATAAATTTGGCTCAAACACTGAAGCTTTTGCTATCATTAATCTCTATAATATTTTTGGTATTTGGACATTTAAAACAGTAGGTTGGCATCATGTTAGACAAACTCAAAAAATATTCAGCTAACTGAACCTTAAATCAAATGGTGTGTGGAAAACAGTGGAGCTCTGTGACGAAGAGGAATAAGCTATTCAGCCTTCTTTATACTTAAGAGGTATTTGTTTTCAGTGGACTTGTTGACTACAATTGTCAGCCAGGAAATGCTGCAGCCTATTTTCCCCGAGTTCCTGAAATGTCTCTGGCGCTGACTTTCAAGTGACTAAAGAATTTTATTGACAGCAGCATGCCAGATGTGCTGCGATGAAGGAAAACAAAAACATTTCATTGATCTGAATCTAAAACCAGATTGAAGACACTGATCACAGTAATAAAGAAGGGATGCAAATGTTGCTGGTGAGGCTTTGCTTTTAATATCTGTACCCCAAAAACAATCACTGCAGATTAAAGGCAGTTTTGTCTGTAGGCTCCCAAAGATCTCGTGCAGAGGTCAGCTTTTTTCCATATGGATGTTAATTATTTGGATTGCTAGAGTGTATATGAACAAACCACTACAGTTAAAGTTTTTCTTCTGTAAAAATCTGATAAGATCCAGTAGTTGCATCTGTCTGTTTCACTCGGTCCAAGGAGATTGTCCCATTTGGCCTCACGGACCTGAAAAATATTTCAAGAATTTTAATATTTCCCCTGTGTTGGCGTCAAGGGTTTTCTTCAACACATTCTTGTTAGTTCCTCCTCCTCTAGTGTCTGGTTAAAATCTCTCTTCTTCTCATAACTGGTATAGATTTAAAATGCTAGTCTAACAGCAGTATATTGTAAACACTTATAGCCTGTGTATTTTAGGCTGTAGCTGCAATGTTTAACCTCCTTTCAGACCACATGTTGGCACAAAAGCTAGACAGCAGAGCTTGCAGAGGGTAAACATTACTGCATCAGGAAAAGCACAGATCAAACAAATTTAATTAGTGTTTCCTGTATTTAATTAGGTGTCCTAGAAATCATGCCAGTGAGCCACTATGCATAGAAGACTGTGGAACTGGTTTACCTAAATTGAATCTTAAATTATGGTCTGTTCCTCTGTCTTATCTGTGTCCTGTTCTATGTATTTTTGCCTTTAAAGTGAGATTAGTTTTAACTGTGCTAGCAGCAAAGCTGTAGGTTTGACAGTGCTGGTAATTTCAGTTCATCACTTTTGCCAAGAATAGAGTATCACAACACATATTCAGCAAATTTACTGTTAGATTTTGTAGAGGTGTTTTTGGTCTGGCTTTTTCAGTTTTTCTGTAGCGCGTGAAACCTCTCGCTCTGTTCTAGTGAAATATGGCATACGTTCCTGATAATCTACTACCACATTGGTGCTGATAAGTCTGTCACTTTACAGGGAGTGGTATGGTTGTCTGTGCAGCTGTGCATGGTATTTGTGAACTCTGTGGGTTTCTTTTTTGTTTTGTTTTGCTCAGATGGCAAATTAAACACATCAGCACTTCTTTTTCTCATCAGCACTTTAACAAATGTTAACTATGCAGCTTGTCAAGTGTTTACTCCGTAGATTTTTGTTTTTAACTTTCAGATACGTAAACAATAGCCTCAATAGTGGAAGCCAGAAATATTCGTGGCATCCTCTCATACAAACAGAACACGCATGGGTCCCGTTTAAATTATTCACACGGAGATGTTTCATATAGTAATTTGAAGCAATCCATTAAAAAATAAAAAATAGCAGCTTTCTTCAAATCTGCACTGATGGAATAAACTATTTCTGTGTCACAGTGTCCTTTGAGCTACAGTCTGCTCTATCAACACAAAAGTGAGCAGACTTGCTAAAAACGATGTTTTCTTTTCCTCTTAGGAACAAAGAATGTCATCAAAGCCTGTGTGGAGTGCGGCATAGAGTGCCTCCTCTATACCAGCAGCATGGAAGTGGTCGGTCCCAACATCAATGGAGATCACTTTAAGAGGTGAAAATCAAAAACTATAACATTGTTAGTTGTTTAAAATGTTGTTGTTGGTTTTTTAATTATTCTTATTTTTTATGCTGACTGAGCCAACATAGTAGACATCTAAACCCATTTGAAGAAGTGCTTTAGCTCATCTAGTTCATTTTCTGTAGTTGCTGCCTTGTAACCACTCTTATCTTAAAAGCACCATCATTTAACACATGACTTGTGCAGAGCAAGATATGATGGGGTGGAGTCAAACGTCAATGACAAATGCAGTATTTAGTATTTTCTGTGTGTTATTCAACCGAGTGATCAAGGTAGTTTATTCTGATTAAAAGACATTAAATGGGAGCTACTGTCTGAGCTTTCTTTTGCCAGTGCTTTAATATTTTCCAGACTTTTATGTCACGCACTTGTTATGTAATGTTGCTGTAGTTAAACAGCTTTTAAATCTGGAGCTTAAAGTTCAAACTGTTTTGCAACCATCATTTGCATTGGCATGCTATTGACAGTTATGTCACTCAAGGTTGGTTGATACCAGAGGAATAGTTCTGAATTATTTAATAACAAATAAAAAATGTTATGTAATGTACATTTGCCAGGTTTTTTGCCTGTCATGAGAGGAAAAGGCAACACAATGTGATTTCTAAATATGGGCTGTCTCCGGGTTTTTCTGTGTATTCATCATTTTCAGTGACATCATTTGAGTGGCATGTCCATACCTGTGTAGCTATGGAATATTTTGGGTAAGAATGAGCAGAAACCAAAATAGAAATGACTCTTGAATCAAGACTGATGACAAATGGAAAGTTCACTCCTAAAGGCGTGAGTCAGATCCAGGTGTATAGTTCACCGTCATATTGTTTGAGTATAGGAATAGGAGACCCAGACAGACCATTTACTGGCATATGTCGGTTAGAGGGAACAGTTTTTGTGCTTTGGCTGAAAGCATTTCAAGGTAGGGTTTTTCCCATTGTCACCCATGACCGAAATGAAAAACCCTGGTGTGCAATGCTTGTATGCACTAAGGTTAAGGTGACGGTGCACAAGTGGGCATTCTTCAATATTTAAGTGTCTGGTTGGAAATTCCACCCAGTTCCTGAAGGTTTACGGTTAATCTATTCTGGCCAACCACTACCAAGGGTTAAAAACAAAAGAGTTTGCGCTGCAGAAACTCTGACCACATATTTAGCATGTGCACCCTTTACCCTCCAACCTGTACCAGTAAAATTCTGAGTGCTGCCTGCTAATCTCAGACTGGCTCCATGATCTTGAGATTAGGGCTTTACAGAGGCCAGCATCTGAGGCTGGACTCCTTGTTCTTTTTGTCTCTTTTGATGATTCTTTGGGATGTTTGTGATGCTACAGAAGGATCTGGGACCAATCAGGCACCTTCTTGTTGATGTGTGACGTAGAACACGTGCAAAGCTTTTTCACAGTACAATATGTTCTCAGATTGTTAGATGAAGATTCAAAAGAAAAATATTGATATAATCATTCCAAGTGGATGCCCTCTTATCTACTGAGATCTTTCTACGTCAGCCCATCTCCAGCCACTGAGACAGATTAGCTTTCTGGTATTTCCTAGTAGAATTAAAGTCGCAGCATATTACTATCAATATCAAAAATGGATTTACAGTAACAAATGGATTTAAAGAATTCCACATAATGCCCTTGTCACATGAGGAAAATCACGCCCAGCAAACGTGCTGGACGTGCTGTCTGCCTTCCAGATGGTGTGCACTCTTTGCACGTACACAGGCACCTTGGAAGCTGTTGTAGTTCTGACGTTACCCTATAAGAATGAACCTTTTCCTTCTCTTGTTACAAATATTTGTTCTATTTAGACAGTAGATTTGGAAAAAAGATAAGAACAAACTTTGAAAAACTTGCAAATAAACATGGATATCAGGTTTGTTCTTCTTTGCCAAGGTTCATTTCAACACTTCTGTTTAGTACGTCATAAGCACATTCCTAACACACACAGCAAGGTCAAGAAAATACTAGGTGATTATCTTCTCCTGAGCACTTCTCTGAATGTTTAACTTCTTTCTTTGTAGGGGCAATGAAGACACACCTTATACAGTGAAACACAGCATGGCCTACCCCAAGAGCAAGTCAGAGGCAGAGAAAATTGTGCTTGATGCTAATGGCACCAAGGTAAGATATATTTCACAAATTAATGGTATGTTTACTTTGTGTAAAGAAAAGTGGTATACTGTTTGAACTACATCACAATGAAGCAGGTTTAGTAAATGTACATTTGAACTGAACTATGATAATGCAGTGAAACCAGTAAAAGGATTAGTTTCTAAAAAGGCTTAACCTGGATAAACTTTGACTGGGCAGTTCCATGCAGAGGCTCGAGATATGCAGATGTTTTTGTTTTTTAGTCTCTTGCTGAGCTGGACTGGAGCCTTTAAAAAAACAAAGTCATAGTGTGTGTGTGGGGGGGGGGTTTCTTGTGCAACTTTGCCACAGAATGTGAGAATTTCCCTTGTGGCTATGCGGTGGTACAATGGTGTAATTTTGCTGTTTACAATTATATCTAAATCTTCTTTTATTTTATCTGCCTCCGGCCTGGAAACTAAAAGTTGTTTTTATTTCCTGTCCAGGTTAAGGGTGGTAAGCACTTATACACATGCTCACTGAGGCCAACGGGGATCTATGGCGAGGGGCACCAGCTAATAAAGGACTTCTATAAGCAGGGTGTTCAAAGGGGAGGCTTGATTGTTGGAGGCATCCCAGATCATGTTGAACACGGTCGAGTTTATGCAGGTAAAATTACCACTTCTGTGATGTTTCCTATGTGGCACTGAAAACTTGGTTAAAGGCGCCGTCATTTTTAAAGCAGATGTAGCATGTAGAAGCACTTCCTCTGCACTTCGCAGGAAGTTTACAGTTTTACACCTAACGCAATTCATAACATTAGAATTTCAGATGATAATATGATAAGAAACCCTGATGCTCTTAAACAACTTTTAATAGGTTTATAATAAATTCAATACCAGATGGTCATTATCGGTGAACATGTATACATGCATCCAATTCACACCACAAATACTCTGATCTCCTAACAGAATATGATTGCATTTATGATATTAATACATTTTACAAATGCATGCATGTAAGGCATGCAGTATCAGCCACAACTGGATAGAAAGGATGTCACTTGGATGCAGATTAAATGACTAAAGTAGTATCTACAATTGATGTATTTTAAGTATTTGCACTCTTTACCATCACCATAATTAAATCCGTTACTTATCCACTTGTCTACCTAGGCAATGTTGCCTGGATGCATCTCCTTGCAGCCCAAGCTTTGAGAGAGCGCCCAGAGAAAGTTGGAGGAGAAGCGTTCTACTGCTACGATGACTCACCCTACAAAAGCTACGAAGATTTCAACATGGTGTTGTTCTCAGAGTTTAACTTTCGAAAGGCACGGATACCCACAATGGTGTTATGGTTTCTGGCCATGTTTAATGATTTGATGCACTGGTTACTAAAACCCATATACAACTACACGCCGCTGCTGAACAGTTACACCTTGGCCGTTGTTAGCACCACCTTCACAGTGCGCACCGACAAAGCTGAGCGTCATTTCGATTACCGCCCTTGTACAGCTGGGATGAATGTCTGGCCCGCACAAAGAAATGGATTAGCACATTTCCTTCAGAAAACTCCAAAGACTGTTGATCTGAGCTCAACCACAGCAACATTTATTAGAAGCTGCTATGTAGACAGACGGGATCGCAATACGTAAATAATGCCTGTTGTCTATTAATGTTGTAGAGAAACAAGCAGTACTGTGCCTTACAGTAGGGACAGTGTATCAGAGCTTTTATACAGAGCATATAAACATAGTTTTATAAAAGATGTCTCAATAATTCTCGTCGTAGTAGATTAAAAGGTGCTTTCATAACATTTTTGAAACTGCATTCATTTCGACATTCAAGCTTTAAAAACTATGCAGTACCGATAAAGCAGTATTGTTCTTGGTCTTGTGTTGGTGTTTTCAGTTCTGCCAACATCCACAGAATGCCTTAATTCAAAGTTAAAATAAGCTTCATTATAAAATGTTGACCACTGATTCCATCAGAACCGTTAACTACATTTGTTAATGAACTAGTTCTAGATGGGGCAAATGGTGAAGACGACATAATTATTACATTGTTGTTCTATCCATTTCTGTGGCATGTACTAATTTTAGATATGCATTTCACATTAAATATTATCAATATGCACAGTATTAATAGTGACAATGTAAACTCAATTTACATGCATTTACTACTCAGGTTACTAATATTTTATTGATTTAGCAGAGTTTATAAAATGTTTTATACTGTTTGAATAAATGTTTATTGTGACACAATTGGAATGTTTAAATTTTTTTTGTCATTACAAATAAAGATTTATTTAATCCTTTGTACAAGGCCTCGTGTGTTGTGCTTGGCATCAGGGCGGTGCCCTGATCTCATTGCCTGTCATCCCAGTCTTTGGTTGCATAACAACTCTGATACACATCACTACATCCCATCCCTGGAAACCACTTGCACAACTTTAAATCCTTGTTTTTGTTTCAGTATGCATATTTGCCCACACCATATCCCCATGGTTACATTGTGTCCTCCGGTTTCTATGTATCCAAGTGTTTACCCATTGCGGTAGGTAGAGAGAATCACTCCTTGAAGTCATGTGTTGTGCCTGAAAATGAATAAATAAATGAAAATGAATGAATGAATGAATGAAATGATGTGGAAACTTGTTGTCATGCTATATTAAAACCAGCTGGATTTGAACTTCTATGACTCAGAAGGAAAAGGGAGTTCCTTTAGAGTTTGCTAAATAGTGTTCCTGTAGACCTGGGTGTCCCCCATTTTGAGGTTTTGCATAGCAATCTCCAAAACACCACCATGCATGATGCTAGGAAATACAAAGCAAAGACTAACAGTTTCCAAACAAACTCATAAATCCTTTTTTGCAAACAAAACCAAAAGATGTGGAAACAAGAATGTGGAAAAATTAAGTTGTGTGTGTGGTTTTTTTTGTTTTGTTTTTTTTTTTACATTTCCAGCAGATTGTAATATGGTCTGACACAAAGGCTAGGCTTTCTTATAAAATGTTTCTATGATGTAAGAGAAAGCATGTCTGTGGGAATACAGCAAAATATCTGTATGAGTTTAACTGATGTGTTTTGGTGGTTCACAACTGGAGTCTCTAGGTGTGTCAAACCTGTTTGAGTTCACAAGCCAACCAGGAGCTATATATAACAAATGGGGTGAACCAGTAAAACACAACCTATGTGAAAACAAACACCTATATCTTTTATGAGAAGTGAATAGATATTCTGAACATTTTATATATACAAAAACATGAACAGCCTGAGATGTCTTAAAGTTTAATTTCAACTCTGTCTGAGAGTCTGCTGTCATAACAATCGACAGATCACATTGATTCTATAAAGAAAAAGACTTTACATGGATAGTTTTTGGAAGGAAACAATATTATGCATCTTTGTGATTGAAACACCATTGTTGTAATGCTGGCATCACATCCTTACTCCAGGAATAGCAGAAGACAAAAAATAATACAAATTAAAAAAAATTACAGTCTTTTGTCAGAAAAGCCACTCCGTAGACCTGTGGCAGGTGAGGGTCCTGTTCCAGGAAGCAGGAACTATGGAGACAGAGAAAACAGAGACCTCCACTCTGTGGACAGTAAGGGTCAGCCAGCTTCCTTGCACTGCAACATTTATTGTAGGTCACTGTAGCAATCATTGTTTAAATAAAAGACATCTGTTCTTTGTTTTGCAATCAGTCACACTAATGGAAACATTTTGTGTTACAGATGGAACCTTGGATATGATGTGGATATTTGGGTAAGGAACAGAAATGATTTTTAAGACTAAGACTAAACTAAAGGAATTTAAAGGGGTGTTTTAAAAGCAGACAGACTGTCTGAATGTAATCTGATTACATGTAATGTTTGTCTTTGTTCAAAGATTGAGATTCACTTATTATGTCAAACAGCATTTGAAAGGTACAGTGTCTGTACCACTGAAAATCACATAAAGCAGACTCTGTGGGTCTGCCCAGAACTGGACCCAGCTGCAGGTATTAGAGGCTCCATAATGGATCAGCAAACCATGCCCTACAGAAAAAGATCAAGGACTCAAGGATGAGGTTCAGCATGGCCATTTTGCAGCTCATCCTGTCTAGACTGAATTTTTATGTTCATATTTCATTTATTTTGTTTGTATTCTGTTCCCCGGTCCTTATCTAAAATGGTTCATAACATGTTTGCCTTTACAGATAAAACTTACATTCAATAAAGACCTGTAAAGCTGCCCTGCCTTTTTTCAGTTAAATAGGAAACCATTACTATGCTCTAACTATGACTATTAACAATAACTCGATAAGACATCTCTCCTACGGCTACAAGAGAGGAAACAGTGAAGGCCGACATTAGATTAGATTAGGCAAGGCAAGTTTATTTATATAGCACAATTCAACAACAAGGTGATTCAAAGTGCTTTAGAGACATTAAAGAACAAAAACAAATAAAAAGCATGAGTTAAAATTGATTAAAAAACAGTAGATAAAATCAGGACAGTAGATAAAATCAGTAGTTAAATGTAAGTTTTGAAATTTAAGCTTAACAGTGTGGATTTGGTGTTTTATTCAAATGTAGCTGAGAATAGGAGTCTTCAACCTGGATTTAAATAAACTGGGTGTTTCAGCTGATCTGAGGCTTTCTGGGAGTTTGTTCCAGATATATGAAGCATAAAAGCTGAATGCAGCTTCTCCGTGTCTGGTTCTGACTCTGGGAACTGATAAAAAACCAGATCCAAATGACCTGAGGGATCTGGAAGGTTCATACTGGGTCAGGAGGTCACTGATGTATTTTTGGTCCTAAACCATTCAGAGCTTTATAGACCAGCATCAGAACTTTAAAGTCTATCCTCTGACGGACAGGCAGCCAGTGTAAAGACCTCAGAGCTGGACTGATGTGGTTCACTTTTTTGGTCTTAGTGAGGACTCGAGCAGCAGAGTTCTGAATGAGCTGTAGTTGTCTGACTGATTTTTTAGGTAGACCTGTAAAGATGCTGTTACAGTAATCAAGCCTACTAAAGATGAATGCAGGGACTAGTTTTTCCAGGTCCTGTTGAGACATCAGATCTTTTATCCTTGAAATATTCTTGAGGTGATAGTAAGCTGATTTTGTTATTGTCTTAATGTGTTTTTCTAAGTTTAGGTCTGCATCCATCACTACCCCCAAATTTCTCTCCGGGTTTGTGGTTTTTAGGTGTATAGATTGAAGTTCTCTGGTGACCTGTAATTGTTTTTCTTTGGCACCAAAGACTATTACTTCAGTTTTTGTTTAGCTGGAGAAAATTGTGGCACAGCCAGTCATTAATTTCCTCGATGCATTTACCAACAGCCTGTATAGGGCCTCGGTCTCCTGGTGACATTGTGATATATATTTGTGTGTCATCTGCATAGCTGTGGTAGTTTATTTTGTTGTTCTTTATAATCTGTGCCAGTGGGAGCATGTAAATGTTAAACAGAAGGGGTCCCAAGATGGAACCTTGGGGAACTCCACATGTGATACTTGTCTGCTCAGATGTGAAGTTACCTATTGATACAAAGTATTTCCTGTTTTCTAAGTATGTTTTGAACCAGTTTAGTACAGTTCCTGAAAGACCTGTCCAGTTCTCCAGTCGTTTGAGTAATATGTTGTGGTCAACTGTATCAAATGCTGCACTGAGATCCAGTAAAACTAAGACTGTGTTAAGAGATTTTCTACATTATACAATATAACCAAATCTCTATAATACAATATAATCAAGTGTGCCTTATATTCTGTGTGTTCATATATTTTCACATAACCAAGCTTATTGTTAAAGAGAACATAATGCATTCCTTACCTCAGTGTGTGATGTCAGATAAGCATGATATACTTCTGCATTGTTATTTTCAGTATATGTGTGCAAGGTCAGATAAGCTGAGATAATGCCTGACCTCTCCCCTTTCAGTTAAAAGAGGAAGTACTATGTAACTTACTTTCACTATAAATAAAGAACCAAGCCTGCGCTCAGTGTGTGTGTCTTCTCAGAGACATTCACCCGTGCGCACGTTTTCTAATACTCTCTGAGTCGGTCTACAGTGTCTTATTTCTCTTACTTGTGTTTGAACAAATGTCAACCCCTGACAGACTGACATTTTTCCACTGTCTGTATTCAGACATATGTCATTAAACACTTTGGTCAGAGCGGTTTCAGTGCTGTGGTTCTGTCTAAAACCTGACTGGAAGGCATCATAGCAGTTATTCTGTTTTAAGAAGTAATTGAGCTGTTGAGAAACTGCTTTTTCAATGATCTTACTTAAAAATGGGAGATTTGAGATCGGCCTGTAGTTGTTCATTTGTGTCTTGTCAAGATTGTCCTTTTTCAGTATAGGTTTTATTACAGCAGTTTTTAGTGGTTCTGGAAACACACCTGACATTAAAGAAAAGTTGACGATCTGTAACAGGTCTGACTCCAAAGTCTTTGAGACCTTTTTGAAAAAACTTGTTGGCAGGACATCTAAACAGCAGGAGTTGTTCAGTTGACCTAAGATGTCTTCAGGTCTTTGCTGTTAATCGGGTGAAACTGTTTGATGGTGTTTAAACAGTTTTTCAGTGGACACAGTACATATCCTGAATATGCTGTTGATGTACCAATTGCTTATCTAATCTTTTGGATTTTTTCTGTGAAGAATTTGGCAAAGTCATTGCAGGCCATGGTCGAATGAAGTTCAGCTGCCACTGGCACAGGAGGGTTTGTTAGCCTGTCAACTGTAGAAAATAAGACCCGAGCATTATGACTGTTTTTGGTGATGATGTCAGAGAAGTAGGACCTCCTTGCACTCCTCAGTTGTAAATTATAATTGTGAAGTTTCTCTTTATAGATGTCATAATGAACCTGGAGGTTTGTTTTTCTCCATCTGCGCTCAGCTTTCCTACACTCTCTTTTTTCATTTTTCACCAGTGTGGAGTTTCTCCATGGAGACTTTTTCCTTCCAGAGATAACCTTCACCTTAATGGGAGCAATAGTGTCAATGACATTTAACATTTTAGCATTGAAGCTATTGACGAGCTCATTGACTGAACCTCTGGACAGGTCAGGTGTTAATGGGAAGACCTGGTTAAAGATCTCACTACTGTATTCAGTTATACACCGTTTTGTGATCACTGCTGTTGATTTGTGTGGGCTGAAATTAGATTAGAAATTACAAATGGCCACACTGGGGGACATTACAGCAGAGTTTTTCCGTAAATCTTATTAAGCAATACAGTCCATCCATCCATTTCCAGCCCCTTGGAGGCAGAAGTCTAACACAAAAGGGAGGACCTCCCTCTCCCCAGCCACCTCATCCAGCTCATCTGGGGGAAATCCTAGGCGTTTCCAGACCAGCTATAAAGATGTAATTTTTCCAGGCATGAGCAGCAAAATAAGGTTGTTAAATCCATCAGTATGCCGGCTTGTACACATACACGAGAGACATGAGAGTTCTTCTTTACTGATGTTTACTGTGCTTCTCTTAACGTACAGGTACACCGTAGAACTGGTGAATACAAATGTACAAGAAAATTATATTTCAGCATTAAAACATATTACAATATAAAATTCACAAAATATAAACAAACATACCACTTTGGCCTGCAAGTAGACAAACCGGTGTAACTGGAACTTAGGGCTTATTTCTTCTTTCTTAGCTTGACTTTTACACGGCTAGACCGTCACCATGCGCAGCTTCTCTGACTTTTTTCCAAAACAGGAAGTGACCTCTGCCCTTACCTTATATTTACAAAATTAACCGGCTATTTTCCATGTATCAAATTAACTGTACACCAATCCGGTAGGCAAAAAAGGAAAATGTTAACATGCTCAACACAAAAATAAAACATACAAAATAAAATGAGTTAGTTACATTATCATTACAAGAGCTCCGCCTAGTGGTCAAATACTAACATTTCACCAACTGTTACACTCCCACCATCACACTATCGCAACAGCATGTGTGATCCTAAAGGAATTTGACCCAACAATGAACTTAGCGAAGGTTAACCAATAAACATTATGTTGAGTCTTTACTCTGCTTCAAGTAAAAGTATAGTCTTATGTATGGGTCTCTCTAAAATCGTCTTAGTTGTGTGCTTCCCCTTATTGTCTCTAGTAGAGTCACCGATGAGAAGCTTAACTTGTCTGACTCTGCCGTCAGCTCCTGGAGTGACTTCCACAACTTTGGCGAGTTTCCATTGATTTCTTGGAAGACAGTCTTCTTGTAATAACACAATGTCATTTATTTTTGCATTTCTTCTGTTTTTATTCCATTTGCTTCTCTGTTGCAAGTTTAACAGATATTCCTTTCTCCACCTTGTCCAAAATACATTCGCCAAATATTGTACTCGTTTCCATCTTTTCTGGAGGTAGAGATCTTCTTTAGCGAATTCTCCAGGTGGTGGTGAGATCACTGCTGACTTCATCGTCAAAATATGGTTGGGTGTCAACGGCTCCAGTCCTACAGGGTCGTTGATAGACTCTACAGTTAGTGGTCGACTGTTTACTATTGCCATAGCTTCATACATGAACGTTCTCAATGATGAAGTGTCTAATCTTGAAGCTGACTGGTCAAGAATGGATTTCAGAACATTTCTTATTGTCCGAATCTGCCTCTCCCAGACTCCTCCCATGTGGCTAGAAGCAGGTGGGTTGAAAACGAAAGTTATTCCCAGCTCTTTGACTTTCTCTTGAGTTGCTTGCGTTAGAAGCTCGTTTCTTGCACCGATAAAATTGGTGCCTTGATCACAATGCAGCTGACCTACGTTGCCACGTATTGCTATGAAACAACGGAGTGCATTGAGAAAACAGTCTGCACTGAGATCATCTAGAACTTCTATATGTATAGCTCTCGAGCACATACATGTAAACAAGAGTCCATATCTCTTCAAGTCTTTCCTCCCTTCTTTTACACAGAATGGTCCGAAGCAGTCCATACCGCTGTATGTAAATGGAGGGGTAGCTTCCAGTCTTTCTGGTGGCAGGTCTCCCATCCTTTGTTCTTGATTGCCTTTCCTGTACTTTCTACATTTGACACATTTGTATATAAATGACGATACTTCAGTACTGCAGCCAATTACCCATATGCCATTGGACCGTATCTCATTTACTGTCATCCCTCGGCCTTGATGATTCGTCTTCTCATGAAAATGTTTGATGAGCAGGTGCGACACATGATGTTTCTTTGGCAGAATGGCTGGGTGTTTGATGTTGGGATGGACTGATGCTTTTGTAAGTCTTCCTCCTACCCTCAAGATATTGTGTTGATCAAGGAATGGACTTAACTGAAGTAGCTTTGAGTGAGATGGTCTGACTTCCTCCTTATCCTTTATGATCTTAATTTCCTTTCCAAATGCTTGTTGAACTGTCTGTATGATGAACTCCTCGGCTTCTTTCCTTTCTTCCAACGTAGTACTTTCATTGGACATTTACTTTGAGTTCTTTGCATACTTTACACGTCGTCTTAATCTTGCTATTGCTTTCACAACTCTCGTCCAATCTGAGAATTTTTCCAGTCGTTCTAAAATGGATTTCTCTTCTTTTGCCTTAACTGCGAATACTGTTGTGACTTTGAGTTCTGGATCTTCGATACTGATCTCTTTCACTTTAGCATCTTCTTGTGGTAGTTCCTTTTGCCATAAAAAACTTGGTCCTGTGAACCAGTTGGACTGTACTAGTTCTTTTGTCATGACTCCACGTGATGCGTGATCTGCAGGATTTTGTTCAGAGGCAACATATCGCCATTGACTTGGTTCTGTACTTGATCTGATTCTCTGTATTCTGTTAGCAACGAATACATGAAAGCGCCTTGCGTCGTTGTTAATATAACCAAGGACAACTTTGGAATCAGTCCAGTAGTACACCTGAATATTTTGGATCTCCAATTCTCTCTTTAGAAAGTCAGCTGCTCTCGTAGCTACTACAGCCGCAGAAAGCTCCAATCTTGGGATGGTTGTCACTTTAGTAGGAGCGACTCTTGCTTTACCCATCACAAGAGTGCACTGTACTTCTCCAAACTTGGTCACTGTTCTCAAGTATGAGCACACACCATAACCGGTTACACTGGCATCAGAAAAGCTGTGTAACTCATACTGCTTCACTTGGTCAGATGTTGATGGGACATAACAACGTGATATCTTTATGGAGGACAGGTTCTGGAGGTCTCTGAGCCAAGCTTCCCATTGAGGCTTGAGATCTTCTGGAAGCGGCTCGTCCCAGTCCAGCTTTTCCTGACACATTCTTTGGAGGAGTTTCTTACCAACTAAAATGAACGGAGCGACGAATCCAAGTGGGTCGAATATTGAGGCCACTGTCGAGAGCACTCCTCTTCTAGTGAAGGGGTTATTCTTTACAATCACCCTGAATTGAAAGGTGTCTGAGCTTACACACCATTGGACCCCTAAGGCTCTTTCTATCTTTGGCTCTCCTAGTGCCAGATCCAGATCAGTTGCTCCTGCTACACATTCTTCCTTTGGGATAGCAGCAATCACTTCCTTGCTGTTGCTAATGAACTTGTGCAGGTGCAGCTTACCGGTGGCACACAGTTCTCTAGCTTCCTTTACAAGTTGAATAGCTTCTTGCACTGAATCCACACTCACCAAACCGTCGTCCACGTAGAAGTTGCGTTGCATGAACTTCACCGTGGCTTCACTGAACTTATTTTCACCTTGCGCAGCGACATGCTTGAATCCAAAGTTTGCGCATCCTGGTGAAGATGCTGCACCAAACAAGTGGACTCTCATACGAAACACTGATGTGGACTTTTCCATGTTACCATCCTCCCACCATAGGAATCGGAGGTAATCTTGATCTTTTGGGGCAACATGAAACTGGTGAAACATGCGCTCCACGTCACACATGACAGCTACACGTCCTTTCCTGAAACGACACAGAACTCCAACAAGAGTATTTGTGAGGTCAGGTCCTGACAGGAGATGCTCGTTGAGCGATGTATTCTGGAACCTTGCAGAGCAATCAAAGACGACGCGGATCTTATTTGGCTTCTGCGGATGGTAGACGCCATGGTGAGGAATGTACCATGCTGGTTGATTATTTAGCTCAGCCTCTGGCACTTTCTCTGCGTCACCTCTCTTTATGATGTCTTGCATGAAAGTCACGTAGTCCTTGTAGTAGCGCTCGTCTTTTCTGAGACGCCTTTCTAAACACTTCAGTCTGTGTTCTGCCCAAAGTTTGTTGTTTGGCAAGTCAGGTCTTTCTTGTCTGAAGGGTAGTGGCATTTCAAAGTGGCCATCTTGCCTTTGTTTTATGCCTTCTTTTACTTTGGCTAGAAACAGTAGATCTTCTTGTGACATTGACTCTTCTTCAACACTTTTTTCAACAAAGTCCATCTCTAGCACATTAAGTATCTCGGCTGGAGTAAGTATTTCTTTGACTTTGTTTCTGCTTACAAAGTGAACTTCCGTTTTGAGCTTGTGAGCTGGTCCTACAGCTGGCAAGACTTGTCTAACAATAACACGATGGCTTACTCCTATTTCATCTTCACAATCACCTTCAGAGTCACTGTAGCCAATGATGCTCCAGCCAAGCAGAGATTTCTGTGCAAATGGCTGGTCTCGATCACCACTGACCACCGCTAGAGGGAGCAATGCTTGAGGACAGTTATATCCGATCAGTAGTCCAACTTCACAATCAAGCTTGGGAGCCATCTCCTTTGATAAATGTTTCAAATGTGACCAGTTCTCTGCTGTTTTGTTTGTGGGAATATGTGATCTGTTAGCAGGAATGTAGTCTCTGGTATAGCTTGTTGGTAGTTTGATTCTCGTTTCAGAGTAAATGCCTCTTACTTGTAAGTCCTTTAACTTGCTGCTTGAAACAACTTTTGTTTTGGACGTTATAGTGGAAATCTTGAGTTTAACTGGCTCTAACATGGCGTTGAGCGACTGAGCTGTGTCTTTCAAGATGAAAGTGGTGTCACTTTGAGTATCGAGCAAAGCATACACCAACTTTTCATTCTCTGGTTCATCCACAGTGGATACATAAACTGGGACAACTGAGGAAGTACAACCTTTTGACTTTTGTTGCACAACTCTGTTGGATGTAACTTGGTTAGATACTTGCTCTTGTACTTCAGAAACCTCTGTTTCCTGGTTAGCCTTAAATTGTTGTTGGCTATTCTTTCTTTGTTCCTTGTCTCTTTTCTCTCTGTCTTGATGTAGACAAGTTGGGTGAGGCTTTTGGCATTTGTCACACACACTTCTGGAAGTGCAGTTCTTAGAGTTATGACCAGTCTTGAGGCAACCAAAGCACAGTTTTTCAGACTGCACAAACTTTACTCTCTCTTCAACTGACTTGTCCATTATCTTGCGACATTTCTGAAGCGTGTGACCAGGTTTCTTACAAAAGAGACATGTGACATTTGTCCTTTCACTAGAGCTTGTACTAAGTGACTTAGCATTCAGCATGTAGTTTCTTTTGGGCTTGTCTTTGAATGCATGCTTGTCTTGTTCAGTCGGCTTTATTGCAGGCAGAGAAGTGATAGGATTACATGCAATTCTTGCTTCTTTATTCAGGAATTTGACAAAATGACTAAAATCTGGGAACATTCTGTGTTCATCTTGAAACTCTGTCACCGTTCTGTTCCACCGTGCACTTAGCCAATCAGGCAGCTTTGCAGCTATCCTCTGATTTTCCACGCAGTCATGCAAAACTTGTAAACCTTGAACATAAGGTATGGCTGACTCAACACTGCTTAGAAAATCTGCAAACTCACGTAGATCTTTAGTGTCTTTGTTGTTAATTTTTGGCCATGACTGAATCTTGTCACGATATGATTTGCCTATCACAAAGGGATCTCCAAACCTGTCGTTGAGTATCTCCCAGGCAGCATGATAAGCGGTGTCTGTTCCAACCAGAAAATGTCCTTCAATAGCCTTCTTCGCTGAACCTCCAACATACTTTCTCAGGAAGAATAGCTTTTCTTGAATTGGCAGATTCTTGCGGTCAACTAATGTTTGAAAAGACAACTTCCAGTCATTATACTGCAGTGGATCACCTGTGAAGACTGGAGGCTCTGGGATTGGGATTCTGTTTGCAATGATAGCTTCAGCGAGCATCCTTACAAGATCAGTGGAGGGCGTTTCATTTGCACTACGAATTGCTGTTTGAGGGACAGAGGCTCGGAGAGGTGCAATTTGTTGCGGAGCTCTAACTTGAGATGGGATGAATGGTTTCGAGTTCACATTTGGAAAGCTTGGTTGCGGGACGGAACTATCTTGTCTTACTTGGGAATGAACAGGAGATTTGTCTTCATCCTCACTATTCACACTTTCAGCATACACTTTCAATCTTGCTTGTGCTGCATTACGCTTTTGCAATTCTCTCAAAAGTTCCACTTCCTTTCTCTTTTCATCTAACCTTGTCTTTATTGAGGTGCTCTCAGTTAGAAATTGAGCTCTTTTCCTTGCATCCTCAACTTCAAGTACTCTGATTTCTTCCTCACACTGATGCTGTGTTTTCATTATTTTAATGACTTCTTCTGTAGCTGCTACATCAGCTGCAGCTTCTTGTCTTTGTTGTAGTGTGACCAGATATGATTGCTTTGACATCCCAGAGATAGACCTTGACTTATATGTGATCCTTGAAGAAGCACTGGATGAACTGCTGTCATACACGGACTCTGAATCAGGCCAGGGTATACTATTTGGATCACCATCTTCTTCTAAAAGGCACCGAGCCTTTGCTCTGGCAGTTTCACTGATAGCCATGCACACATCACATCTTCTGCGCATTTCAATATCAGGACTTTGTATTTTTCTGATCTCATCATGAATGTTACAGATGTCAGTCATACTAGTGTCTATAACACTTACAGCTTCAGGTATTAACTCAATGTCTTTACTCTTCACCATTCTTTTAAATAAGTTTATGTGGTATTTCTACTTCTTGTAAACTCGCTCAAAATTGTTTGTCAAGTCATTTAACTTGGCTTCTTGTAAGGATTGTCCCTTTTCAGTGAGAGTGCGTGTGCGCTGGCTTCTGCGTAAGCTTTCTGACTGTGTGCCTTCAGTAAATACTGAGCACTGTGGAGTTTCTTCTCCATTTGTCTGCTCTTTACTTTCATCATTTTGAAAATTATCCTCAGC